CACTGACAGGGTGTTTATTTGCTTGTCTGTCTGCTTTTTCAAGCTAATACAGAAATGCAGAAAAGCAAATTGGAATTTGGGAATTTGGTTGGAAAACTTGCCTTAAGTGCGTGTTTCTCTCTACATGTACTTGGTACAACTTCCACAGTGGTTGCCTTAAGGACCTCCCATGAGTGATTTCCATATGTGGGGAATCCAGGGCATTCCCCAGAGGTCAGAAATGACAACATTTTGGAGGTGGCAACCAGGAATTATGTTCAAAATGCCTCTTTATAAAAATAACTTCTTTTTAAATGCTTCAGTCTATTTTTAATATAGATTGTTTTGTCATATATTGTTGCAGTATAGAAATTAACTTCTTTTTTTTTTTTTTTTTTACTGTTTCAGGAGCCTTTACAGAGAAATACTGTTTCTTTCACTTGTTGCCCTGGGAAGAGATAACATTGATATAGGTGAGTTTTCTCAATTATTAAATGAGCACAGATGATGAGTGTGTGCAAACTAGTTGTTCAGCTTTCAAAAAAAATTAGATGTGTACCACTCTGTGGTAAGTGCCAAATAAAAAGGACTTTTATTTTTTGCTGATAAATGCAGCTGTCATGGCATTTGGGTATTTCTGAGCACTAGGAGTTGTTTTTCCCTCCCTGCAGATGCTTTTGACAGAGAGTACAAAATGGCCTATGACCGACTGACCGCTAATCAAGTGAAGAACACTCATAATTGTGATAGACCCCCGAGCACTGGAGTGATGGAATGCAGAAAGATTTTTGGAGAACCGTACCTTTAGATATTCCTGGCTAAAGAGGTGATATCTCTGACGTGTACCTGTGTAAAATAACCACTTCAGTCACAAGGAAACATCTCAGTCTTCAGTGTTGGAGAACGTGCGTGCGTGGAGGCCTCGGGAAATTGGGCCTGTCTGCAGTTGTGGAGATGGACAGAGAGGAAAAGGGGCCAACTATTACTGCCCTGTTCCCTTGTCCTTTCTGCAGATCAATGTGTAGAAAGGAAGGTTCTAAACAAAATCAGTTCTTTGACTTGGGACAGCAGATTACAGCTCCCTTAAAACAAAAAGTAAAAAAAAAAAAACAGGTGGACAGAAACAATGCACTGAAACTAATGTGAGCGAAGGAAATTCTTCAGAATCTATTGTTTACATAGAATATTCATGATGTTATGAAGAGCATACAAAGTTGTATTATACATATTTTAAATTGTTTATAGTAAGTTGATATTTTTTTAATTTTTTTAAATTACTGGAGTGAATTTTAAATGGACTTGCTGCATAAGCAATACAGTGCTTATTTTTTTTGCAGTACACTGCTATTTATAGTAACTTGTCCAGTTACTTTTTGAAGAGTGATTGGTTTTAAAGCAGAATAGATAATGTTAACCTTCACCTAGACAGTACTTAAGATCCAGGATTTCTCTCATGCACACTTGGAAAACGTGTTACCACAGCAATCAGAAGGAAGGTATGGTAAAAATCTGTAAAACTACTAATGAACACACTGATGTCTCTGTAAAACACTTCTGTAGAAATCTCCTCTTCCTCTCGTGTTCCCTTTCCTCGCCACTCCCCAGGAAAGGGAAAGCCTGTTGAAGAGTCCTACAGATTGTTATGGAATCAGCCCATCTCAGCTGTTGGCATTTGTTGGTGTGACCTCATCCCAGATGGAACACAAAGCAAATGCAGCAGGTTCCTCACAAACCGCAGCGTTCGGAGTCTCGGTGGTTGTGTTAAAACACACTAAATATGACACGTTCATAGTGCTAACCCAAAGCTCTTAACTGAAATACATACAGCAAACCTGCTACAGGGAATTTATAGGGAATGTAACTTATTGGGGCATATTGTGCATAGTTAAATGTACTTGGAATGTTTGGTCTCTATTTCACAGGCAAAGCAACTTTTTTTTTCGCTGAAGAGAAGCGCTGTGTCGGTCCTTGTGGTGGAGTCATGGCTTTTGCCTCATGTTTTCTTGTTCTAGACATTTAAAGAAATGTTCTGTGCTCTCAGTCACATAGCAACTCCTCACCAGAAGGTAGGCTACAGGGAAAATATCAGAAGTCGTGTGTGGAGGTGGGAAAGCAGACATTGAACTGTATAAAACACCCTAAACAAATTAAATCATGCTTTAACAAATAGCTTTATTTTAAGTAATCTTAATGCATTTTCCAATTCTAATTTCTTTTAGTTGGTGCTGTTAGAATATTTCTAAATATCAGCTGTTACATTAGATTTTATATGGCAGTCTGCCTACCAGCAGGTGTTTTTAAAAACATCTTTAGTTTGCAAGTGTAATAAACCAGCAATATTTAGTTAGGCAGAAAGTGCTAAACTTTAAAGCTCACATTTACTCTATTAAATGAAATAGAGCAAGCCTTAGAGGCTTAGATGAGAAGTAATGCTGCTATGAAGCTCTGTAACCTCCTCCCAGACCTCTGTGAAGTCCTAAGAAGAAGGTGCCCTAAGGAGAAAGGGTTTAAAACATGCAGAGCTGCAGGAGTGTGCTGTTGATAATTGCAAGATGCAGGATACAACTTCCATCGGGTAATGCCTCTTCTCTAACGTGCTGCTAATTATGTAGCTGACCTTTTTGAAAGTATCCCCCACCCTGAGGTGGAGCTGGCAATGCTACCCTCAGACCATTGTTCACATTTAATTTATTTTAACCATTTGTGATGCTCTTTGTCCTGCCACGCTTGTACAGTGTCCCTCGTGCATGAAATGGAGCTCCTTTCCTCACCCAGGTACATGGTAAACACACCTCCTTTGTTCTTCTGAGCTATTGTGAAAAAACAGGCTATTTCTGACCATATTCCCTGTGAGTAGCCCTTAGTGTGCATGGATGCTCTGCTCTGTGCAGCAGGAATGCTGCATTACCATGGAAAACTCGCCTGCAGTAGTTGCTGTGTATTTAAGCTCATCCCCGTGTTCCCAGCTCCCTGCAGTTCTGCTTCCCATGCCATTTACCACTGGGACAGCCACTGTATTATGGGACCTTCGGGCCATGAAGGAGAGAGATCAAGTGCTTTTTCCAGAGCTGCCGTGGTGCTCAGAGGGGCTGAGCTATGACCAGGCTTCCCCCCCCCCGTCCCGGTGTGGCGGAAGCGCCGAGCCCGGTCCGTCCCTGGGACACGGCACTGCCGAGGTGTGTTGGTGCAGGTGATCCATCCCAGTCCCAGCTTCCTTGGAAGTACTTCCAGCTGCCCTCAGACTTAGAAACCCAGCACTGTTGCCGCTTCATTCCGGTGTCCACAGTCCTGCAGTGTTACCAGACAGTAGCTGCTGCCCCAGGAACAGGATTGTCCCTCAGCCTTCCAACAGTCCTTCAATATTCCTGCATCCCCAGCGTGGCACTCCTGAAGCATTGCTGATGTTCATTGGGGTGTGCTTTTGAATTACTAGATCATGTAGTGGCTCATCAAGTGACATCATTATACTTAATGAATTGTTTAATAAGGTCTGTTGCGAGTCAGTCCACTGTAGAAATAAATCAAAATAGAGTTGGAATAACAATATACTATAAATGGGAAATTTTCCTCATTCGAGTCATAACGTTCCAAATGCAGGTCCTGAGGTGGATAATTTTTAAGCATCATGCAATTCAGTGTTCAAACAGTTTTCAAATCTCACTGTCCTTTATTAGAAAAGCAATTTGACTATATTTTCCAATACTGCAAAGATGGATAAATAAAATATTTGAGACATATTTTCAATTTAAAATTTTGTATGAACTGAATTTTCTCCTTTGTGTACTAAATAATGCTTATGTCCAAAACCTTAAACAAAGGTTTTACATTTGCAGTGCAATATATATTTTGCTTTACTTATGGTTCCACTGGAATAATTATTGGAGATGAAATACCGAAATGTGAATAGAAATTGTGCTGTTTCTCTGACACTGCCGTGTCCCATTTGAGAGGGTTTGCTGTTGGTACAGTTACAGCCTGATGAATTTGACTTCCACTGGCAAATTAAATGATTTGTACCCCAAGAAAGAGAAAATTCCTGCGTGCAAAATCTTTGTATAACAAATGGGAGATGCAAACAGTAATAATAGAGAGGGGTATTTCTGGATATTATCTCACTGGGATTTAAAAATGGTACTTTGTTAGTCTGCAAGCAGCACTTTTTAAATGAATGGTTGTAGATTTGTAAATATGTAATGTTTAAATTTTATTTACCAAAAACCAGTATGTTGGATGTTTGCTTTGGTTTGTAGTTCCTTTAAAATAAGCAAAGTCAGTGTTCACAATGTTAAAGTTTTTTTCTGTCTCATCCAAAAAAAAAAGAAGTTTTACAGTGAGTCAATAAAAAGCTTAAAATCTTTCTGGTTATTTTCATTAACATTTTATTAGATGGATTAGAAATGTCTACAACTCTTAACTGCATTGTTTGCTCCCGTGAGGTGTTAACAATAACCCTCCCAGGTTTGTTGAGGTCAGTGGCATTTTTTCATCATATCTGTGTAGAAAACAGTGCAAGCAACAGGAATTAGTGCTGGATACAGTAGTCTGTAAATAGCAAGGATTAGTGTCAGTGTGAAAACAAACCCCCAGCAGTTCAGCTTCTTGTTGCAGTATTTGATTCCTGGCTTTAGTTTTGATCAGTGGTAATGTGCTATTGTAACCCCAGATCCACTTTACATTGTAGTGGTAAGATGTAAATCCAGGTGATATCACATTTTTGCACTTAACATAAATTTTAGGGCCCGTGTTGCAAGATGAGGTACAGATTTAAAAGGAGCTTAGTGCAATTTGAGAGAATTCACTGCTGAGATGCAGCATATGAGGCCACAGGGTGACGTTAAGCAGAGGAGTTGTGGAGAGGCCCGGCCACGTGGGGCTGGTTCTCTTCCCCCTGAAGTAAAATTCAGTGATTTCAGAGAGTTTGAGCAGTCCACTGAGTAATTTAGCGTGTGTTCCTGAAAAACGTCTATAATGGGTAAACGTTTCATGCTGAAAATCAACTCCATTAACTTGAGGGGATCAGCTGTACTGAAAACTCGATGCATCTGTATCACATCAGCCTTTGCCACAAGTGCATAAACATGTGCTGTTTGATATTGTATCTGTTCTGATCCTAAAGAAAAATAGCAGAGGCTGACATACCACTTGAGATTTATTTATTTTTTAGTAAGTTAAAGATATTTTATTCTCAGTAAGTTTGTTACAATTCTGGTTCCTTTTTTTTTCAGTAAAACATTTGCTACCTTAAACCTCTTTTGATGTTGCTGTGTCCTCACACACATCTTGAAGTGTCCAGCCATCATACAGATACTGGGCAGGATATTATCTTGTCTTCTAACATCACACTGATGATCAGAAACACAAAGTAAAGAGCAAACATGGTGAGCCCCAGCATTTTGTTCATTTTCCATTTACAGACAGCGATGGAGATAATCACAAACAGGAGCATGAGGAAAAGGAGAACAATTGCACAAAACAAACCATTGCTGCTCACTGCCACGGGGCTGAGGCCATTGAAGACAGAAAAAAGGAACCAGGGAACTGGCAAGCTGCAAGTAAAGGAAAAGTAATTGAAATAAATGTTTTAAGGCAGTTCATTTTCTGCATCATAACTAAGCAATTTTTCCAAAGTCTTACAGGGGGAAAAAAATGCATGATTGCATTCAATGTAGCTCAGCATAAATCTAAACTAGATGTTGTTTGTATCAAAATTGCATTTGGATAATGCTTCCACTATCATAGTGCAATCCAAGAGGCTGAAAGGACCTATAAATTAAATGTCTTGGGCTGTAATAAAGAAATGTCCTGATGCTTTATGATGGAAGATACAGGCACTGATCCTACCCTTGCTTGCACAGGAGCTGGATGTCTCTGAGTGACCAGATCTTGTTCCTACCTGTAAATCTTTGATGTTTACCAAAGATTTCTTGAATTTTTGTCTTGGAAAAAATGGTAATTTTCTGTTGATTCAGAATTAGGTGAAGATGGTGGGCTGAGCTGTAACACTTTGTCTTTCCTGGCTAGGTTTGGGTGTTGTTTGGTTTGGGTTTGGGTTTTTTGTTTATTTTTTTTAAAGGAACTGGTTGCCCAGCTGCCTTTCATTTAAATACAGCTAAAATTAAATTAATAGGTACGTTTGGAATAAAACCAGCTTTGTATTTCAGAAGAAATGCCTGTTTTAGCACTGAACTGGTACTCACCCAACAGTGATATCAAAGATGTTGCTGCCCACAGAGCTGGACACAGCCATGTCACCCAAGCCTTTCCGTGCCACGATGACACTGGTGATGAGGTCAGGGATGGATGTTCCCGCTGCCAGGATGGTCAAACCCATAATTTCCTCTGATATCCCAATTGTTTCCCCAACCTAATCAACACAAATTGGGTAGAGCTGTTAGCACTGGAACAGGGAATACAATTGCTCTGTGCAGTTTTGGGGTTTGTGCCATACTGGACTTAAAATAATCTGAATCCCCTGAACACGGGAGCATTTTGCTGCTTTGCAGGATTAGAAAGTTAAATTTCACAGTGTCTGTTGATCCTGGATTTGCTCTGCAGTGCAGGGAATCTGATCACAGTGATGCCAACACTGAGCAAGGTCAAGTCAGCCACAGCACAACTCTGCTGTCCTCAGTCCACCTCTGCTGGATGTTGTCCACTTTCTCCCTCTCCAGATTTAACATCAGCTATACAAGATCTGAGGGCTTTTGGAAATGACAGTCCTTGGATTTATGGCACGATCAGCTATATTGTGCATGTGCAATATATCACTAAATACAGAATGGAGGGGTGATTCTACAAGATGGAAGTAGTATTTCCCAGAATACCAGGTGAACATTAGGGCAGGGGGAGTTGAGATCATTTAGCAGCTTCCAGAATCAGACCCTTTATTTTCCTAGAATTTTAATTAGGTAATGGATAATTATGCTCTGCACAGAAACATTCATCAATGGAAAGTCAGAATTAAGATAAATCTTGACAGTACTTTTCCTTTCATTGCACTTTCCTTTCACTGATGCACAAACTCCCTTGGAAGCTCTTGAAAAAGAATGAAGCTTTGTCAAATCAAAAAAAAAAAAGAAATAGAAAATTCCCTTTGGGTTCTAACAAAACAAAGTTTCTACTGTTTTGATGGGCTGCAGCTGTAATTCATGAGATAAAATGCCAAGTGACACTTGCCTCTCTCCATCTACTACTTCTGAACTGGTGATTTGCAGAGAACACAAACCCCTCACCTGGTGAGCCCACCACACCATGAGGTAAGAGAACACAGCAATCCAGAGGATGGATCCAAAAAACGTGATCACAAAGAATTTTTTTGAGTCCTGTCGAAATCAAGTTTGGAAAGAAAAAAAAGAGAAGTTTCAGGCAAGTTAATAATCCCCAGTTGAAAACTATTCACCTGAAACACTTCCCTGCAGTTGATTTGCTTTAACTTGGACCCTGGTTTCTATTTGTATTTCTGGTTTTCAGCTCGATTAGGTACCTGTAGTTGCTAGAATTTGTGGTTTGTTAAATTGAGTCTCTGTACAACGTTCCACTGCAGCTGGGCCTCCTGTCCCACCCCCTGCAGCAGTTACAGCACTTCAAGTATGCAAAGGCTCCAGACATGGAAAAACGGAGCTGGGGACTCTTGCCCAGAGGAAATCTATAGCTCAGTTAATGACTCCAGTAGCAGAAAGAAGACAGATTCTTACAGGGTTCCTGACGTCAGGCAGAGTGCTCCAGAGAGGAAAGACAATGGGAAAGAGGAAAAGGTAAATGGCTTGTTTTTTCCTTGTTTCTGGCCATTCCAGAGATAAGGGCTCATCGTTTTCATCATCATCATCTGTGCTGTCCTCATCACTGTCTTCCTCGCTCTCAGAGCTGCTGTCTTCTGAGCTGTCACTGCTTGATGGGGACTGTAGATCAGGATAAAAAAATCAAAAAGCCAATATGTTTTCACATCCCCAAGGAGCTGCATTTATTCACCCTGGCCTCATCTGGGCAGAGCTCACATTTGTAACAGGGCTGGGGGCACCCACAGCCCCCATCTCACTACTGGGACAGGATCCAGGCTCATCCTACCCCAGCACCTGTGTATTGTCAACTAAATTGCATCTGTTAACTAGAACCACCTTTTAGATGAGGTTTTGACACAAACTGTCCTTGAAAATCCTTTCCTCATCAGAACAGCCAAATTACATCACCTGGAAGGAGGGATTTGGGGAGCAAAGCAGAACTGTACACTGGGGAGCACAGGACAGGCACATCCTGGGATCTTCCCTTGCCCTGGAGTGCCCCCCTGGCCTCAGAGGAGTGGGAAATACTATACAGGATCAGTTGGTGCCATATTTTGGACCTGATCTGTGTTTGTAAGCCAAAATGTTTCAGCCAAATATTAATAAATCACTGCACAGTCTATATATAGCTGCCAGTGACATGAGTTGGATTCTGTCCCAAAAGCTCTGGAGAGGGAAGAAGGGAAGTACATGTGAAGGTCAGCCTGGAGGGAGCACTTACTGCCTGTGACCCTGATTTCAATACCTGTCCATCCTGTGGTGCATCTGCCTTCTGTGTGGCTTTGCTGGGCTCAGAGTCATGGGCAGGAGTTACCTGGATTGTGCTTGGGGCCTTCTTTTCCTCTTCTGCAAAAAGCAATAAGAAGGAACACTGGTTTTAGTTGTCTCAGTGTCAGGGGGTCACCTTCCCCATGATCAGCAGGGAGATCTGTGACATTTCAGGTTAAACCCTGTCAGACTGCCTAGGTTTGCTGTGGTTGTGATTAGTAAATCTGGGCAGAATCTGACCCTCCTGGAGTAGAATGAGACCATGATGTTCCTGTGACCTCCTCTCCAGAACTGCTGTAAGAAACACGTGTAACAACAGGGAAATGCTAATTACCTCATCTACAGCTGATGAGTATTTCCTGGTTGCTTTCTGGATTCTGAAGATATTACTAAAACCATCCTTAAAAGACAGAAAGGATGTAAAGCCTTGCTTCTTTGGTTTTTTTTTTTTGTATTTTGATTTTTTTTCCAGTGAAGCATGGGAGCATTCTCCAGGGAGCTGCCGTTCTTCAAGGCTTCTGAAAAATTACTTGGACGTGCTGCCAGACTTTAATCCCTGATCATTTGGTGGGGATTCAAATGGCAAAGTGCTGACATGTGCAAGGAAACAACTGCAATGTCCTCTATGCTGTTCCTGTGTAGCCAAGAGGAACACGGAAACCTTCATGTGTAGTAGTGTGGAAACAAGGACAACACAGAGCACAGGTGAAGTCAATGAGATGTTGGTAACACACACAAGCAATTGTTTTTTAAACAGTATTTTTCTCAAGTTCAGGCTCACTCAGGTGAGGCCCAGTGTTGTGAGGTGCTGAGGTACCTGTGTTGTGTGGAGCTGGGACCTTCCACACAAAAGTTTCCTGTTTTTTGAAATCTCCATCTTCCCAGGCAGCACAAACCCATGTTATAGCACAGCCAGCTCAGACAGGCTGTGTGTCAGCAGTGAGAGAGAAAACCCAAAAATTATTGAACTGCCAGAGGTCAGGGTCAGATGGGATATTGGGAAGGAATTCTTCCCTGGGAGGGTGGGGAGGCCCTGGCACAGGTTGTCCAGAAAAGCTGTGGCTGTCCCATCCCTGCAAGTGTCCAAGGCCAGGCTGGACAAGACTTGGAGCAACCTGGTCTAGTGGAAGGTGTCCCTGCCCAGGGCAAGGGTTGGAGCTGGATGGGCTTTAAGGTCCCTTCCAACCCAAATGATTCTGTGAATCTATTCAAGGGAAGAATGCACAGACCCTTAGACTGATACAGAAACAGTCAGTGCAGCTGATTCCCTCTGCAGGAACCTTCCATGCTCTTCTGCAAGTGTGGCAAATTTCCAAGCTAAACTGAAGGTCCTTTGTTTTAACAAACCCCTCAGTTTGAAGGGTCTACCAACGACCAGCAGCACCCAAGTGCTGCCTGCAATGGCCTGATTTCCCTCCTCCACCATTCCATGGCCACTTCGACTACATCCTTGTAGCACTCCCTGCCCGGTCTCTGTCTCACTGAGGGCTCCTGGGGGATGGCTGTTCCTGCCCACACACATCCACTGTTTCCTGCTGCACTGTTACAGCGGCCACCCGTGAGCAGCAATAACACAGACCTTGTGTCAGACCCCAGTGTCTCTGTGCCAGCCTTGGGGTGTTGTGTGCTGGGAAGGTAAGGGCTGACACTGCAAAACCAGGCAAAGGGCTCTTGCACTCACCTTCTGACTGTGGGCCTTGTCCATCCAAGGTCTCTGCCTTGGCCTTGGTCTTGGCCATGTTGCTCAGGACGTCAACCCTGTCTTTAAATTTTTCTGTGGATGAGGAGGACATGCCCATCAGCAGCTGTCAGCTGTGCAAACCCCCCTGTATCTCCCCCCTACACACCCATGCTCTTGCCCCTTTCCTCTTCCATGGGCTGCAGCCAGCACTGACCTGTGAGCTGTTGTGGCTGTGCCCCCAGGTTTTGGCTGCTGCTGTTGAGCATGGCTGGCATGTTTAAATGTTAGTGCTAGAGCAATTACACCAGCCATTTGAGAGGTAACTAATACCATCATATTTTAAAGAGAACTACAAGGAAGAGAAATCCTTTCCAGGTCATTAGTGCATTCAGTATCTGTACTTCATAGGAAGCAAATGCAGGAAGAACAGAGGAGGAGTTTTGGTGCAATATCATCTTGTTCCCAAGGGACTATTGATTTTTTTCAGGCTAGATTATGTGCAAGCTAAAACTGACACCTTCCTCCTGCCATGTGGCTGTTGAAGAGGCCTTAGGGTGCTGCTTGCAGCCTGGGGACCTGATGGTAAGAGAAAATAAAAACCTTTTATGTTCCAGTTCCCTGGAAAATTATTGATTTCTCTAAGTATACACAAGTGTCTGCTCTGCTGGCATTGATCTGGTGTCCAGGCTGTGTGGGAGATGATCTTCACCAGTGCAGGGTCCAGTGCTGTATTTCTGGGATTGCTGGGGGCTTCTTCCACTATGAACCATGTTCTGCTCTGCTCAGCTGAGCTGCTTTATTATTGGCTTACAGCGAACTGTGAAACTGTGTGTGTGTCTCCATAATTCAGTGTTGTGCTCAAATCTTTTAGTGCTGACTCTCACTGAAACAGGACAAAACACAGGCTCAAAGAAAAGCCCAATTTTCTCTACTCTGTGCCCTCTGTTGAGCTGCCCACCCCACAACTCAGCTGAGTGTTGCAGGGTTTGCACATGGACAGAAGCCACAAGGAACTGGCCACGCTCTGCTTGGCTGGTGTGCAGGGCTGTAAATTCATTTCCTCTGGAAGTTTTATCACACTGATTTAATCCACTGTGCTGTTGAGTACACAACCAGAACGTGCTGTTGTCATCTGCCTCAAGGGCAGGGCCCTGACACTTTATTCATCACTGTGATACTGATATAATAAAAATAGCAGGTCTGAGGCCATGAGCTGTGTGGGCAGATCAGATTCAGAGCTGAACCTCACAAAAATCAGTAAATTCTGGTGTATGTCTAATAACTTTGTCCAGCTCAGACATTAAGACCTCAGGGGACAAGTCCCGTTCTGGTGAGATTCCTGTTAGTGTCTGACAAACACTTTTCACCAACTGAAATTTCCACTGAGCCTTGGAATGAGCACTGGACTGAGATGAAATGATGACAGAATCCCAGAATTATTTGGTTTGGAAGGGAACTTAAGATCACCTTGTTCCAACCCTTTGCCATGAACAGGGACACCTTCCACTAGCCCAGGTTGCTCCAAGCCCCATCCAACCTGGCCTTGGACACTTCCAGGGATGGGGCAGCCACAGCTTCTCTGGGCAACCTGTGCCAGGGCCTCCCCACCCTCACAGGGAGGAATTTCTTCCCTATATCTAATCAAAATGATGATTTTTTTTTTTTTTTTCTCCTTTGAAAGGCTGGCTCTTCCATGCTCCTTGTCAATCCTGAAGCTCACCAGAGGGGATGGGAAGCATTTTGCTTCCTTGCCCCTGAGCTGATGCACTGGGACGTCCCTGGGTGCAGGGCAGCACAGAGGTGACCCATTGCTCCCTCTGAGCACTGGGCAATGCATCTTTCTGTTCAGCTTGTCCCTGAAGCTGCTGCAAAAGCTCCTGTCAGCAAGGTCAGGGCAGTCAGGCTCAGCCTGAGGGAGATTATATACATTCAAGCTCCTGGCTCCCTGCCCTGGCCCAGGCTGGGAGTGGAGCCCTCAGCAACCCTCTGTCAGCACAAACAGATTAGGCCCAGGCCCCTCTCCAGTCCTCAGGAGATCAGTCTCATCTGGAGGGGTGTTAATTCCTCTGACACACAATTCCTGTGTGGACTGAGGCTGGAGGCAGAGCTGGCTCTAAGCTGGGCTGATCTGCAGGTCAGCATGGGCAGGAAGGATGTCCCTGAGCTCAGTCCTTGCTGTGCTGGCTTAGCTGTGCAGGGCAGGGGCCCTCAGTCCCCTGGGGCATCCACTGCTGGCAGCTCTGTCCCCAGCTCTGAGAGCCCATCACACAGGGCATCTCTGCGTCCAGGGGCCCTGAGACGCTCTCCAGGAAGATTCCTGTCCTGTGGATTGACAGCACTCAGGCTGGACTTCAGGTGGCAGCTGAGCTTTTACCCTGAATTTGGCTCTTGGGTTTAATGCACTCTTTGGCTTTCACAACACGATCAGCAGGAAGGATTTTTTTCTTTACAATTTAGCATGAACCTGAAGGATTTGGAGATTCTGCTGCCTAAAAGTGGAAATAAAAAACCAAACTCATGATTCCTTTTGCTCCTTTGTATCCTGATTCCTTAACAAGTGATGGAATGCTAAGGAAACAAGGAGAAACTGTAGCTGCCTTCAGCTTCTCACTTGGCTCTGGCCTGCAACCTTGCCTGCTGCTCTGGGCTGGTCTAATTTCCAAAACCATTACCTTGTTCACTGGGGCATACTAAGGACAGGCAGCTCTGCTGCTGGAGCCTTTTTCTTCATTCAAAAACAAAAGTTAGCTTCTGCCTTCTTCCCTGCATGACTGGACTTCAAAGGATAATCTGACGGTAAGACTGAAGGTTCAGCAATGAGAGGGTTCCTGAGTATTCCCAAAATCCTTCTTCTTTTCATTCCCCCACAGTTCCCTCTGGTGTCAGTGGGGAAAATCCTGAAAAGATCTCATGCTTTGCTTCTGCACACTTCCAGAGAAAGTGGAGGAAAGAATAAAGTTGCTAGAAATTCCTCATTAAAAAGAATAACCTTCTGGAGAGACTGTTGTAGCCCATCCTTGCATCCCTTTGTATCAGACATAAGTACACGTGCTCACACTCCCATCTAGTGGCTGCTGCACAGACAGTAACTCACACCCTGCCTGGCTGCTGGGGCAGGCTTAGGTTGGACAGCAGGAAAAATTTCTTCATGGAAAGGGTTGTCCAGCCCTGGCACAGGCTGTCAGGCCAGTGATGGATTCCCCATCCCTGGAGGATTTAAAAGATGTGTAGATGTGGCACTTAAGAACAGGGTTTAGTGGTGGCCTTGGCAGTGCTAGGGGAGCAGCTGGACTCTTGGAAGGCTTTTACAACCTAAATGATTCCATGATTCTGTGGAATGAGCAGGGAAGTTCTCTTTCAGAGAAGATCCAAACTGCCCCCCACCCCCAATCTCATTTATTTAATATAGTCCTGGGAATAGCAGCCTCTTTAGCAGGGACAGTGGCTTTTACAACTGCATGGAAACCTCCCAGCAGCCTATTCTGGGTTGAACTGGCTGGAACTGTCCTTGGCCTCATCTTGCAACTCCTGCTGAGGTCCCAGGGTTTCCCCAGGGCACTGGCCTGGACCAGAAAGCCAAGTGTGTGCTGGGCTGGGGTGGGAGATGCTGTACAGAGACATTTGAAGGTGTGGGAAGGATGAGAAGGTGCTGGGGGGGGAGTCTCTGAGTGGCAGCAGCCCCTCAATCTGGCACTTTCTGATGCTCAAGACAATGGCATGTCCTCTTGGAAGGTTTTGGCATTATCCTGGTGCTGTTGATAACACCTCTTGGGGGAAGAGGAGGCAAGGGCAGTAGGGCAAACTGTGATGAGCTGTTAGGCTGCCTAACAGGTTTGGGTGCCTTCCCCAGACTGTCAAAGCAGACACTTCTCTGCCTTGCTGTCCTCACCCAACCTCCTTTGTTCCCTTGATCAGTTTGTGCAGCTGGGATTTTGATCTGGAGAGTCCTTTTTGTAACCTCTATGAGAACCACGAGAGAGGTGCTGATCTGCTTAGCTTCCATGTCTCTTTGAATGGACAGCAGGTAATCTCTTAAGAACAAGTAGGGCAGTGGAGGGGTGGGGCATGAGCTGAGCTAGGGAAGAAAATCTAAAAAAGTCTTTTTTTGTGTGTTTCACTATTTCTTGGAAAATGAACCTCCATAGTGGGGTTGAATTAAAGTTTAATACAAAGCAGTATGTTAAAAGTCTGTGTACAAAGACCCTGTCTCTATCTGGAGATGAGGCTTCTCTGCACCCTGGGCAGTTTAAAAGAGTCTTGGACCTGAGCTGATCTTTCCCTGGCCCTGGGGAGCTGCCCATTGCCTGCACTGTGCTGGGAACACACTTTGCCATGGCAGTGATGGCACCACAGCAGTGCAGGGGGGCTTTTAGAGGTGCTCAGTGTCGGTTTAAACCACATAGAATTGGCCTAACCATCGAAATTGGAGCTCATTTTGTGATTTAAATCTCAGCTGGGATGTTAACCACTGTCAAAATGATAATTCTTCAAGGGTTTTAACCTCTTTTTGTGCTGCTGTTTCAGGGCTGGGGTGAGGTCTGAGCTAAGAAGAGGAAGGAAGATGTGACTCATGTTTGCTGCCCCTGCAGTCAGAGAGAGCAGAGATGGGGGACAGCAGTGACTGTCACCACTTCCAGGGACCCCAGCAGCAGCTGCCACCACAGCAGTGACCAGCTTGGCACAGGCAAAGCAGATGTGGCAGGACCAAAGCATGAGGTGTTTGTCCTTCCAGCACTGGATCAGAAGAGACTCAGGGCTCCTGACACCACCTGTGACTCGCAGAGCTGCGTTCCAGGGGTGAGTTGCTGACCCCAAAACACTGACACACACAGCCTGTGTTCCCAGTTAAACCACTCTGCACCCAGGGCAGCAAACCCAAGTCCCTCCAGTGTGGAGCATCCACTCACCTTCTGCCAGGGGGTCCAGGGTGTGGATCATGAGCTGGAAGATGGTGCCGCGCATCTGGGAGTTGTGCAGGGAGGCTGAGCTGCTGCCCCGCTGCAGGGCTGGCCCAGGCTGTGGAAAGGCACAATCCCAGTCAATCCCAGTTCCCTCCTCCACTGGCCAGCCGTGGGCAGACAAAAGGGCAACAATTTAACCAGCAGGGGAGGAATGAGCTGTGCAGTGTTTGCTGTGGGGGAGGACTGACCCTGCCAACCTCTGCTCTGGGAGTGAGGAGGAAAATTAGCCACAAAACCAGGTAAGGAAAGTCACTTTCTGAATTTCTGTATGCCTGTTCAAAGCAGAGGATGAATAGCACTCTGCTGGTCAAATCCACTGGGGAAGCCTGAGCTGTCTCCTGTTTTTTATAAAAATTCCTTTGAGGACAGGACTGAGCCAGGTGTCCCCTTAACAAGGTGTGGGCATTGTGCCTGATACAAGACAGGCTTTGTCCAGGCTTTTTGCCACAGAATTTGACACTTTTATTCATGACTTGACATGGGGAGGGGTTAAAAATGCAATGACTTCAGATCCCTGCGAAGTTGCTTAGACCTACCTGCAGCTTCCTCACATCTGATGGCTTCTTTGTTCCATCATCTGCAGCTGCCCCAGTGCTTTTCTGCAAGCAACAAAGAATGAAAATGACTGATCCCCTCCGCTACCTCACCTGCTTTTTTAGGATCTAATGATCCCTCAGGCTTCTCTCTGTGAGGAGGTGGGACAGCTGACACCAATGACTTGCATGGATGCTACTGAAAGAGCCTTCCTCAAATTCCAGCAGAGCGAAAGTGTAAAGGGGTATTTTTTTTTCACAGTGATTAGCATTACTTTCCATCATTTAGAGTTTCTGTAATTTATTTCTCCCAAGGGATGGGTCCAGCAGCTCTGTCATGCTGCTCTGCATTAGTGAGAGTTTTCTGTCAGCTCCAAGTGCAGGGTTGGATTCAATTTGTGGTGATTGATGTCCACAGTGATGGGTGTCACTGCAGGATCTTGGACATGTACCCCACTGGAATATAGCACAGGAGCTGTCAGGACTCCCAGCCATGGGCACTGGGTGAACACCAGACCAGGGGGTGGAAAGAGAAGCAGTTTCTTGATTCTGCACCACTTCAACCACCCTCACCCCCCTTCCTCCCTTCCCTTAAGTGATGTGGAGTGTCAGAACCAGAAGGCAGAGCATGTTTGAGTGCCAGGGACACACAACTGACCAGCAAAGCCTGCAATGCCAGAGGAGAGTTTGAAACCAGGTGGTCTCTGCTCAACAGCTGCAGTAGCACAGGTCAGGAGGACAAAGGAGCTGTGGGAGAGCTGAGAAGGGATAGAGGAGGAAGGAGTGGGCTGGCACACTCAAGATGGCAAAGCTCAAGTGTTCTGGAGACCCTTCCTGCCCAGAGCTGCAAGTCTGAAAGGGTGGTTGGCTCTGGGGACACCTTCAGATACTCTTTTTGTGAGCAATCAGCTCTTCCTTCAAAAGACACCAAGGGAAGGTCTCAAATCTGAAGTTACAGCCACAAACCTCCTGAGCACAGAATCCCCCTGAGCACAGAATCCCCCTGAGCACACCCAGCTGGGGTCAGGGCATAGAATTAGGTTTGGGCACTTGGATCAGGTTGCCAAATGCTGACCAGGAGAGCAGGCACTGGTTGCTAAAGCTGCCAGATCCCTTCCTGTGCTGCAGATCAGGTAACAAGTAACACCACCAGTGTCCCACAAACACACCTGGCTGCAGGGAGGGAAAAGAGAATTTCCTCCAACACGTCTCAGCCACAAGGGGCTGGGACAGAAGCCTTTTCCCCCTGTTTAACACAGAGTTGTCCAATCTTGTTCTTAGACTAAGAATGTGTTCCTGCAAGTGTTCTTTTTGAAACTCTTTTACAACAACCAAGAAAGCAAAATCCCACACGTGTCTTTGAAGGCAGCTGAGCAACCACAACTGAGACCTTTAGTAATTGCATGGTAGTGATGTTCTCTAATTTCTTAGAATCTCTCTCCAGATTGCATTTCCCTCATTTTATAACCATAATTATTGACCAGTACCTGTGTTCTGAGGTTTGAATATGTGCTTTTTGAAGGAGATGTGGTTTTTCTTTATGGTTTACACTAGAACAAATTATTTCCAACTTGCCCTCTGAACTCTAAGGACACCAACCTTTCTCACATGCTCTGCTGATGCTGCCTGCACAGCACTGAGCTTCTTGTTCAGCTCCTGCTTCACCCATTGCTCCAGGTACACGTTCTGTTTCATGGTGAATACGTATGTGGCATAGGCAGTCAGTAAAAGGAGGCTTTCCCACCAATCAATGACACTGTCTAGGAAAAACAGGATGAGCATCAGTAAGTCTACAATGTAGAATGAGATGTCTCTAAATAAGGGCCACCATGTCAGGTGGAGTATCTCCCTGGAGAAGAGGGCACAGGTGCCAATGACAAAGAGGATATTAAACACTGCTGAGCCCACAATGGTACCGATGCCGACATTGCTGTGTGAGATGAAGACACCTATGAGGGAGGTGAAGAGTTCTGGTGCTGATCCACCTGCTGCCATGAAGGTGGCTCCAGCCACATCTTCAGAGATCTGCAGCTTCTCTGTGATCACTCCCAAAGCAGGGACAAAATACTCATCACACACTATGGCCAAGGCCACAAACACATACATCATGCCAAAGATGTGAAGGACAACCCACCCTTGCCTGCGTTCTTCCACACTGAACAGGTCCTGGGGATATTCTCCTTTGGACTCATGGGGTGGTTTTTTGTCTGGGTGGCTTTCATTGGCATTTTCTTGCTGCGGGGTTGTATCCACCAGAGTAGTGACGGGCACAGCTGGCTCAGCATCCACATATATACAGTGCCTTATTTTGGGTGCTGTGGCATTGCCTCTCCCAGCAGTCTTGTTCCTGGGGGGGTCCCTGGAGGTCACTTTGACAGGGTCCGTGGGTTGGGGGGCTGTGTGTGATGCTGGAAGGGCAGAGGGGCTGAACTGGAGCTGGTAGAGAGAGAGGACCAACACCGTGGCAAGAAAAAAAAGGATTCGGTTCCTTCGTAGCCGCCTCCTCCGTGGCAAATGCATTTCCTGAAGGTTCAGAATCCAGAGCCGTATCCAGCAGCCACTGGAGACTTCTCTTGGTCAGCAATTCGAATTTACAGCCACCATTGGAGCTTCCAGCTGATCTTGAGCATCAGGAGTGGAACTGCACAGCACAAGATGCAGAATCCTGCAAAAGAGAATCTGCTGTGAAAAATTAAGTTCTGCAACTTGCCACCATTTGGGCAGCAGCAACACTTAACTGGCACTCTTGTATTTTTCAGTAACAAGAAATGGACTTAAATGAGTAAAGACAGATCTAGATCCAGGTTTTAGTTTATTTTTTTTGTATACGACTGTAAGTTGTGCTGATTAATAATCAAAGGTTTGGCTTAATAGAGAGGAGTTGGCTGAGACAGTCCAATCCAGGCTGAATTCTGATTCCAGCAAATGCCCACATCCAGGAGATGTTAAGGACTGTGTTTTCACAGGAGTGCAGTTGCTATTCTGTAATATTAACAACTGGGTCAGAGTTCTGCAGGAGGAGAGGATACAGCTTCTGTCAAAGAACTGACTTTTAATTGCTGCAACCGATGCTCTGAAGGCAAGATCAAGCTGGTAAAACCTCCTTCTAAACCAGTTATTCACCAAAATAAGCTCAGCAGAAGGATGGGAACTGCTTGAGAGTTCCCAGCAATGCTGGTCTGTGGCTTTCCAGCCTTTCACTCCTCAGGAAAGCAGCCAAGCAAGGGTGAGGTTTTTCCCTCAGTCTGAGGAAAACATGGTTCTGTGGTTGTACTAAAACTGGGGGTGCTGAGCAGCCATTTGTTTCTATGACTACATCTTTCCAAGCCTTTCTATAGAATTCAGAACTGGCAAAGTGGAATTGTAATCATACCTTTTATTAGGGGGTAATTAGCATATCTTCCATAATTATTTGAGCAACATTTAGAAAGGGAGAGGAATTGTAGATGCCAGAGAGACAGATCCTGCAGCTGTGACAGCCTGGAGACAGGGATTTGGGGCTGGACAGCATCTACCCTTTGGCACCTCTGGAGTGTTCTATATTCTAATGTTTTACCTCAGAATATCACTCTCCATGGATTATTTTTCCTCCAGAGTGGAAATGTTACATTATTCTTTAACTGGATGTGAATCATAGTTTTCTAAACCATTCTCAAATAAGCTCTTCATGCAAGTTATCATACACTTACCCTCTTGCATAACACCCAGGGAATTAATCAGCCTAAATTTCTTGCAAGACAGGCATTATTATCTTCATTTAAATAGCTGGGAGGATCACTAAGGCAACACTAATAGAGGGTCATGGGAGTACCTAGATAAATAGATGATATAAGCTTTGCTTTTCATATGTAAAAGGAACATAAACATGCATGTGGCAGAACTGTATAACAGGTATAACAAATTGGACATTATTATAAAATAACTCTCCCTAACAAAGACAGGAGAGTTAAAAGAATGGCCTAGACACAGATGTGTGCACATACTTTAGGATCAGTTCTAAGACCTCTCCAACCTTTCACAATTCTGACCACCAGCCTCTTTGTTTCTCTAGCCTTGTTAAGTTTAGCAGCTTTCTTACAGTTAACTCCTGGTAAACTCCTTTTCTCAACTCCTGCCTCAGCCAGGCAAAATCCAAACCAATCAAATAAACCTCCCCAGCCTACCTTCCAAAGACGTGTCCAGGAGGAACAGGAGTTCCAAGGGCTGGGTGTAGTGCTGGAAGCTTCTTTGGTACTTAACAGCCCGGTGGGAGATGCTGTTGCAGAGGGAGGCAGATGAAAATGATCCCATTTTCAGGAGGTCTCCTCTGCCAGCAGAGCCCTAATGCAAGGGAGGGTCAGGTGTGAAGGACACCTTAGTGGGGGACAGCCAATCCCATTTAATACCCACAGGCCCTAAGAGGATTAAGCAGTATTGTATAGATTTGGGTCTGTCTCCGAAGCCAATACCTTTGTCTGCTGCCGCAGGTTATTCCCAGTGTGAGGGTAGGTGATTATCTGTGTTACAAACTACAGGATTGGAGCACCAGCCATGGACATGGATCACCCTCACCGCAGCTACAGGGGGTAAATCACCCTTAAACAAGGCTCTGGAGCTCCATTTTGAGGCATCTCCTACAGCTGACAGGTCAAATGCCATCCGAATGCCTTTGCCACAATTTGTGTCTACTTTGCAATGCCAGAGGGAGCGTTAAAACTCTTTTTTTCTTTCTGGAAAAATCACTCCGCTCCCACACCAGGAGCACTGATGCAGAGGGAGGCAGCAGCCCCTCACCGGCACAACAACCTTAGGATGGTGTCCAGGACTCTTCTGTGGTATGGACATGGTGCAGCTCCACAGAGGAAGAAATGACAACAGTCCTGGTCAGGGATTTAATGGTCACAACAGCCTGATCATCAGATTTGTCACAGGGGAATTAGAAAATTGTTTGATTTTGGGCCACTCACAATAAGAGAGACACTGAGGGGCTGGAGCGTGTCCAGGGAAGGGAATGGAGCTGGGGAAGGGGCTGGAGCAGCAGGAGCAGCTGAGGGAGCTGGGGGGGCTCAGCCTGGAGAAAAGGAGGCTCAGGGGGGACCTTCTGGCTCTGCAACTCCCTGACAGGAGGGGAGAGCTGGGGGGGGGGTTGGGCTCTGCTCCCAGGGAACAAGGGACAGGAGAAGGGGAAATGGCCTCAAGCTGTGCCAGGGAAGGTTTAGATTGGATATTAGGGAAAAATCCTTCACTGAAAGGGTTGTCCAGCTCTGGCACTGCTGCCCAGGGCAGGGGTGGAGTCTCCATCCCTGGAGGGATTTAAAAGCCATGCAGATGTGGCACTTGGGGACATGGAATTGTGGTGGCCTGGGCAGTGCTGGGGGAGCGGTTGGACTCGATGATCTTAGAGGTCTTTTCCAACCTGAATGATCCCATGATTCCATGATAATATTAAAGCAAACCGCTGTCTGAACGCACAGTTCCAGGGGCACATCCCAGCTTTGCAATGGCGTTTATTCCCTTCCCCCGACCCTCACTCCCACAGCTGGGAGAAGAAGGCCTACTGCCCAGCCGGGATTGCTTATCCCTAAGCCCTTCTCCATGCACAGCGGTCATTTTTACAGCGGCACCGCATTCCCACAACTCCGACATCCAACAGAACGGCTTCCCGCCTGAGCCCCGGCCCTTCCCGTCCGCGCCGCGCGTTCCGGGGGGACGCTTTCCGTGTCGGACCCATGGCGGCGCGGCGGGCCCAGGGTGAGCAACACCAATTCCCTTCCCCCGCGCGCCTCCCTCCGCTCCCCCTGAACATCCCGGGAATCTCCGGGAGCGACCCCGCGGAGCGGGAAAGGGTGGTGGGGAGCGCTGGCTGCCTGCTGGGCGGCTCCCGGAGCGCCGGAGCTGCTCCCCTTAGCGCGGCTCAGCTCCCGCCGTGTCCGGGCCTTCCTTTACCCCCGGCGGGATGTGCTGTGTGTGACCCACCGAATCTGAGCCAAATCCCACGTTTTGGGCGAAGTGTTTCGGGGGACAAGGGTAATTGTCGCTTCTCCCCGGGTCAGTGTGAGGGGGAGCTGCCTCCTGCGTGTGACTCTTGGGGTTAAGAGTTGAGTGGTCTCCGTGGGCCCCTCCCAGCTCGGCACCTTCAGTGATCTCTCCGTAACTTTGATAAGAATTTGTGCCTTTTCCTCCCTTGCAGGCGGGTGATCGCGGTTCTCCGTGAGGGCAGCGGGAGGAGCAGCTCGCCATGCCCACGGTGGTGGTGATGGACGTGTCCCTGTCCATGACCCGGCCCGTGGCCGTGGAGGGCTCCGAGGAGTATCAGCGCAAGCACCTGGCAGCCCACGGGCTCACCATGCTCTTCGAGCACATGGCCACCAACTACAAGCTGGAGTTCACGGCCCTCGTGGTGTTCTCATCGCTCTGGGAGCTGATGGTGCCCTTTACGAGGGACTACAACACGCTGCAGGTAGGGAGGGTGCCACACAACAGCAGGAAACCCTCAGCATTTTAAACCAAAATCAGCTGATTTCACCAGCAAACCGCAGAGAAACTGTGTGTTGTGGTGTTGTCCTGTGCACGACCTCTTGAATGGAGTGTTTTGTTGTTGGTTAAGTGTAGGGGAAATCAGCGAGTTTGAAACATTTTGCTGTTTTGCAGGTGAGCCCAGGAGTGTTGCCAGTTAACTTAAAAGTGGGGATGGAGTCAAACATGGGAAAGAGCTGCCTCAGAGCTCTAAAAGTGGTTCTCTGATGTTCCTGTGGTTTTGCTCATGATAAATGGTGCAGGATGATGTCCTGGTGACAGGACCATTGAGAAAGTCAGGTGATTTGGCAGAGAGAAGGTGCTTTTGGGGGTGTGTAGCAGTTGAAGCGGGGCAGAGATGAGAATAAATGATTTTAGGCCTCACAGATGTGATGGGAAGTTGGGAGGAGGAAGTGAAAGAGAGGAAATCCAAGAGGGAAGTTTCCCATGACTGCAGTAAGACACTGAAAGCCTCTGAATGCAGTAAAAATTGTACATATATATCTTATTATCATACTTAATATCAGGAGGAAATGACACATTGCTGTCACAGGGCACCATGGTTTAGGATTGTCCATTGTGAGACAAACAGATTTTCAGAGAGATTCTCTGTTTTGTTTGCAGATTTAGAGCAGTGTTAGAGTGCCAGGGCATCCTCTCTGACTTGTTTTCACCTCCCTAAGGTGTTCATTTGAGGAATTCTGAAAGCCAAGAACCCAGCCAGGCTCCTTTAGCAGGTTCATCTCACAGCTGAACCCTGTGTTAAGTGTGAGGCTTTCATTTCAAGGAGAAAAGCTGGTTTTTGGATGCAGATGGAAGGTTTGGGGTTTGTTACTCTCTCTACCAAAGAGTTTTTGTGAGACAAACTCCTCAAAAGGAGAGTTCTCTCCTTTCTGAACCTCTGAGAGGTTGTAGCTGCTCTGACACCTGTGAGGATTTTCTCAGCTAAATGTTTCTTGTTAGACTTTGCTTCAGATTTTGACTTTTCTGTGTCTTTGATTTTTTTTGCTCTTGAAGAGCTGTGTTTATAATATTATAATTCTTTCAGAGTCAGCTGTCATTGTCTCATGGTTTCATTCATCATTTCTTTACACCTTTCTTTCCCTTTGTGTAACAGTGCAGTCGTGTGACCATGCAGAGCAAACATCCTGACTCACCAAGAGCCAGGAGTGACTGGTGTGTGCCTCCTGGGAGGAATATTCCCCCCAGGAATGACAGTGGTGTTTGTCTTTGCAGGAAGCCCTGAGTAACATGGATGATTATGACAAAACCTGCCTGGAGTCAGCACTGCTGGGGGTTTGCAACATTGTCCAGCAGGAATGGGGGGCAGCAATTCCATGCCAGGTACACCTGATTTCACTGTTCTTAGCACCCAGTGCATCCTTAGTTTTCCCTGGCAGCGGGATTGGAACTGGATGATCTTTAAGATCCCTTCCAACCCAAACCATTCCACGATTCTGTGATTCTATCCCTGTGAGTTGCATTAGAAATGTAAATGTAATTTGAAAACTCTGAATGCTCTCAGACATGCCTGTGCTACAGACCCACAAAGAATTAGTGTTTTGGATAGATCTGGAATGGGAACAGAAGGTGATGTTTATTTAAATATTCAGCAGTAAAAACTAAGCTGTTTCCTGTCCAGTGTGTTGTTGTTGTGCAGTGGGTTATAAATTGTGGCCCAGGAGCACCATTGTGCAGGTTTGGCATTTGGTCTGGGTGCACTCTGCTGGCCCAGGAGCCTCACTCAGGGTGGAAAGGGTGCAGTCACACATTCAAGAACCTTCCTTCCCCGATACCTGACGCTTTCCAGAGCTTGTAGCAGTTCCAGGTCTCAACCACCAGTGTGGGACTGTGCTGAGTGTGTTTTGATCTGACTTCTTTCCCGAATGAGTCATTTGACTTGCAGCTGCTCACACACTCCAGCCAGCCCTCAGAGCTCTCAGCCTTCCAGATTTGCTGCCTCTTATGGCAAACTTTGCTTTTAACCCTCAATTTTCTGAGACACTTGATGTAAGTTCAGTAATTTAGCAGCTCAGTGAGCTGGGAAGATGCCTCAAGCAATATTCCTTAAGGAGAAAAAGGATAGAGGTTTATGGATTGGGTAGTGCTTCACAATCCAACACTGATAAAAGGCCCCTGGGAACAGCAGACATTCAGAGCAAAGAACTAGAAAGGTATAAAAAACAAACAGAGATTAAACCTCAACAGTTTGGTCTCTCATTTGTGACAGGGCTCATTTCCCTGGCACTTCAGGTGTTGGGGTGATGAAAGGCAGTGGGGAATGTGCTGTCAGGGGTCTTGGACTGGAGGAAAACATCACTGGTGAGCAACAGTTCAGATGGGAGCTGAGGAGACTGGAGAGAGACTGAGGTTGGGGAGAGGATACAAATCTGGATGTAGCAAATACACATGCCTGCTGTTGCTGTGCAGTGCTGAAGGAGCAGCTCTTTCACTCCTCAGTGTCTCAGCTGAGTGTAAATGATCCCATTATTCAGTGTAACCTCTTAGTGCAGGTTCCCACAAGGATTGACTGTGATGTACAACTCAATAGAAAAATGTGTATTTTTGCTCTAATAGTTCTGCTGCAAAATGTGAGCAAACTGCAGCTGTGTTTGTGAAGAGTGAAGATAATTAATACTACTTTTTTTATGGTTTCTGTGGCTTGGAGTGGAAGTCGAGTTGCCCTCCAGATTCTGCAGGAGAAATGGGCTTTATCTTCCACCTGGAAATAAGCCTTGAATCCTTGAGTCCGTCAGCATCAGGCTGCTTTTTTTGGCACTACAGTCGCTGTGCTTCTGATGTACACTTAGAAATGAAATTTATGGAATTTAAATTCTAGTGCAGCTGCCTAATGACAAGGAAATGCATATTTGCCGTGTGCAGTTTGAATCAGGATGGTTCAATCTTCTCTTTTCTGGGAATTTTACTCGCGGTCCTTCCCTCAGCCCGGCGGAGGGAATCCCGGTGGGAGCGGGTTTTTTTCCGAGCTGCAGGAAGGCTGCTGCGATGTTTTGGTGTTCGTTGCCCCCTGCGGACAGGAATTCTCCCCTCTGCTGTCCCTCCAGGTTGTCCTTGTCACCGACGGCTGCCTGGGCATCGGCCGCGGCTCCCTGCGCCACTCCCTGGCCACGCACAACCAGCGCAGCGACAGCAACCGCTTCCCGCTGCCCTTCCCCTTCCCCTCCAAGCTCTACGTCATGTGCATGGCCAACCTGGAAGAGGTGATGTCCTCAGCACCTTCCTTCTGCTCTGTTGTGTGGGATAATTGTTGGTTTTTTCTGAATTAACAACCGGGGTGGCACAAAACACCCTTGGATGTTCTTGTGCTTGAAGTGTGCTTGACATTCCAGTGTTAGTTATTGGCTGAAGTGTGACTGTTAAGAAGTTTATTATTGCACTGTTATTATCTGCTACTGCTGCATTATTATAGTAATCTTTATAAATCATGCCAGTTTCCCCCTGGGGAATATTAGGCAATTTTCATTTATCTGCTTGTATTATTACCATTACTGCATTAATTACACCAAATGCTTTTGTCGGGTTTTCTTAACCTACAGTTAAATTCTTGACTAAATGAATTGTTTTGTAAAGGTGCTCAACTCTTAAGATATAATAGCTTTATGTGGAAATGTGAGAGAGCAAAAGTGAAGTCTCCAAGCCACTGTTCAAACCAGCTTCCCTTAGTTTTGAAGGAAAAGTGTTGGTTTTCTTTCCCTTACTTTTCTCTTGCAAATCTCAATACCAGCTTTAAAAATCTTCACAGGAGTTAGAATTCTGCTGAATAAACAGTGTTTAAAAAGCAACCTATTTGACTAAGGTTCCTTAGGAAAGGTTTTATTAATAGAATTGCTTTTGACCTGACACCAATATTCTTGTGTCCATCACAGAAGGATTTTCTGCTTAGGTATCAAATAGATATCTCAGCTTCAAGGTCTCTTGTCAAGGATGATCCTTCTGATTAAATGGATGGATTGAAGCATTGTTTACACATCAGGATAACTGGGAAAATGTTGAAAATAAATTTTCTATTTCTGATAAGTAATAAGAGAACATTACATGGGAGACCAAGAATGTTGCTTTATTTCGAAAGGAGTGAGATAACAAAAAATCAGGAGAGCATCCAATCAGATGCTTTTTGCTGTGGTGTGTATATTTTCTTAAAACATACTGGTTAATAAAAAAGAGAGGAAGAAGAACACTCAACAAAAATATTTCCCTTTGTTTTTTTGCAGCTTCAAAGCACAGATTCCTTGGACTGCCTGGAAAGGCTCATTGATTTAAACAATGGGGAAGGGCAGATTTTCACCATTGATGGCCCCCTGTGCCTGAAGAATGTGCAGTCAATGTTTGGGTTAGTAGATAATAGGCCTTTGGGAAGGTTTCCAGTTAGTATCTCTAAAGGAAAACAAATACAATAAGAAATCTGGTGATATGAGATGTTCTAATTAAACTTCTTTTTCCTTTTATTTTTTGATCTTGTTACCTGTATTTTCATTTTGACCTTCACTGATTAAGGTCAATATTTATTTTAATTATTGTGTAACCAAACCATTGCAGTTGTTTAAACTTGGCAGACAGAACATAGTAATTTCCACAGCTATTGTTCATTTGCCATCAGGGTGATAATGTGCTGCTCTGTTCCATAATTTAGCAACACTAGAACTATTAAATTGACTGTAGCTAAAAAAAGGTTTGGGACCTAAATTAGTGTGCTTTAAACAAATAATTTCCATTTGGTATGTTTTATGTTTTCCTTAACAAGTGTTTGTGTTCTAGAAAGCTGATAGACCTGGCTTATACACCATTCCATGCTGTTCTCAAGTGTGGCCACTTAGCATCTGATGTGCAAGTATTTCCCAGACCTGAGCCTTTCATTATAGATGAGGAGATAGACCCCATTCCTAAAGCAATTAATACAGGTAACAAACCTTTGATTGCTTTTTGACTTACTTAAACCCATTTGATTTCTGCTTTTTCACTGCCAGCTGTGTAGTTACTGTTTCATCCACATTTTCTCTGCAATTATCAGCCACTGACTATGTAATTTTTTGGGATGTGGGGACAAGAACATCATCCTCTTTCACCCATGAGTGCCTGGTGAAAGGGCTGGAGTGGGGCAGAGGCACTTCCAGAGCTCGGGGTGCCAGTTTTTAGAGGCAGAGCCTGGAATACAGCCACAGGCTGCTTTCCATGAACACCCTCATAAGCTTCATGGGAGACAGGAGAGATGTGTTGAAGAAGGGGCTGCATTTTGTGTTAGAGTTGCCCTTACCAGGAAGAATCTGCAGGATCAGGTGAGACAGCACAGCATCTTTCTGGAGGTTTCTTTGAGGAATCCATTAGAAGTGGAGTCAGGAGGAATTGGTGAGGCAGCACAGGTTGAGATTTGTGAGATTTAGGTTGTCTGTCATCCTGGCACTTCTTGCTAATAGTAAATTGTTTTAAAAAACAACTGTGCCAAGAAAAACCTTTCTCAGCCCTCTCACGAGTGGACACTGCTCCCATGAGCAGCAGGTGTTTCTTTCCTCTCCTTTGGCATTTCTAAAACAGCAGTGGGTTGTTACAGTGTAAAAGTCAATGTCCACAATCCTGTATTTGTCAAGCAGCACAGCTCGTGGGCAGCTGTGTGTGATGGAAGTTATGTTTTTATCTTAAAAAGTCATGGTATTGTGAGTGGTTGTATCTTATTAACATTCAGAGACCTCAGCTGAGGTTTGAGTTCTCTGTGCTGCCTCATTGCTTCAGAAAACAATAGTGTAAGAAGTGGTGTAAATTGACTCCATCCATTTCAGCTGTTTCCAAATCTGACTTAAACCTGTTGTGTCCCCACAGATCTAGAAATTGTTGGCTTTGTAGACATAGCTGACATTTCCAGCCCTCCTGTCTTGTCCAGACACTTGGTACTGCCCATTGCACTTAACAGAGGTGAGCAAGTTTGGTTTTTTTCAGCAAAAAACTACCTCAGGCTTCCCTTGTAATGTCTGTGGTGGTTTAGACTAAAAGCACAGATTTTGTGCTTTATCAAAATGCCAGATGTCAAGTTTGTGTGCTTACATTAAAATTAAAACCTTGAACACAAGGTTTCTTCTTTTGAATACTGTGTTCTTTGAGAAGTTCACAGAGGGACCAGGGTCCTTAAAGCATCATTGTTAGTAGAACATGCTAAACTTAAAGCTAAAAATAATAATGAGCCATGAAATATGTGGTGCAAGATGAATATTTAATGCCTGTGAGTATAATGCAGTGGAATATTTACGTATCATTATTGTGCCACTTTGCCCAAACAGTTCATTTAGCAGCTGTTTGTTCTACAAAAGTATTAATTAACTCTTGCATGCAGACAGTAAAGGGTGGTGTCATGGGAAGAGAACTGGTGTGTTTGAATTTATTCTTATGTTTTCTCTTTGTTTGTTTTCATTCTTCCCCAGAAGGGGATGAGGTGGGACCTGGGATCACAGATGACACCGAAGATGAGAATTCAGCAAATCAGATTGCTGGGAAAATCCCCAACTTCTGTGTTTTATTACATGGCAGCCTCAAAGTGGAAGGCATGGTGGCTGTCGTCCAGTTGGGGTATGGAGCTGGATGTCTGCCTGAAAAATCTCTTCCTTTGCTCATTTGTGCTTTATTTATAAATTATGTTATTTATATCTGTGTTCTGTGCAGAACTCTGCACTGCCAGACAAAGCTGTGGATTTCTAATCACAGAGATGTTTCTGCCAGTACAAATTGCAAAACATTGAGCCCCCACACAGTGGGAGGGAGGCAAACTCTAGGCACAGGGGTGGAAGATTTTCAGCCTTTGGGGCTTTGCTCTTTTCCATAGGCCAGAGTGGTATGGAATGCTTTATTCACAAGCTGATAGCAAGAAGAAATCAAACCTCATGATGTCACTCTTCGAGCCTGGTCCTGAGCCCCTGCCATGGCTGGGGAAGATGGCACAGCTTGGCCCCATTTCAGGTACTGCTCACACTCCTTTGAGTAACTCTGACACAGTCAGTGTGCTGTGAATGATCCTGCCAAATCTCAGTAGCTAAGCCTGTTTATTTTCTTTTTTTTTTTCCTCCCAGATGCAAAAGAAAATCCTTATGGGGAGGATGACAACAAGAGCCCTTTCCCCTTGCAGCCCAAGAACAAGCGCAGCTACGCCCAGAATGTCACAGTCTGGATCAAACCAAGTGGCCTCCAGGTAAAATGATGAGGTTTTGGTTCTTCACTTTGACCAGCTGTGGCCATCTTAGCAGGAAAGTGGGGTCTGTGTGTCCTGTCTGTTTAAGGTAATTGCTTTATTGCTTTTCTTTCATTTTTATGAACACTGCCTCTTCACAGTGTCCTGATTAAAATGCAATCAGAAAGCATAGCTTGTTTCATGAAAGCTCTGTCTCCAGTGTAGCATCTGGCTTGGTTTATTGGATTTAGTATAATTACCATTTCTGCTTCAGCCTTTGTGAGCTGCAATGTGTCAAGGGCCAGGATAATTTATTAATAAAGAGTTGAGGTTTTTTTTCTGCAGCTTTCCCCAGCAGTTGCCAAGATTTTTGTACTTTTTTTTTCCCCTCTTTTCTGCAGACAGATGTACAGAAGATCTTGAGAAATGCAAGGAAACTCCCTGAAAAAACTCAGACCTTCTATAAAGTGAGTAACACTGCAGGCTGGCCCAGGTTTGACCCATGCATTTAACAGAGGAACCACAGTGTCTGTGACTGTGGGATGTTCTGTGCAGGCTTGTAGGGCTGTAAAAACATGGATGCTCTGTAAAGGAGACATCCTGAGTCATTTTATAGGGTCTGGTTTCTGTGCCACCATGTTCTCTGTCAGGGTGGCACAGACATGTCATGTTTACAGGTGTCCCTCGTGCCCCCTGCTCCTTCCATGGTGAACTTTACAGATTTCATGCTCTTGTCCAGGCAGAAATAAGCTGGGGGATCAGACAGAAATAGGAACACAGGTGTCATTCTGAGTCTGAAAATCTCTTATATTTTGTCTACAACTGAAGCAGAGAAAGACAAAATTCCAGGCACATTTGGCCACATCACAGTAATCCATAACTGGACTGTAGCTGGAAGTCATTGTCCCTCTTGCAAGCTTAGTGCTGAAGCAGTTTATTGTAGCCCTCAGAGACTTGAGGAATGAATACCCTGTCTAAGTGCACATAAGCACTGTCAGTTTACAGTGAAGAAAAATCAATATATCCACATTTTGTGTGAACACTGGTTAAAGGCAGCAGTTGGTCAGTCAGTGAAGCCTCAGCTGGAGCCCTGCTGGGACAGACAAAGTAACTGAATGCACAGAGGGGAGAAGTGAGGATTTTTAGGAAGGGATCAAGGGAAATCCAACTGTTTAGTTGTGCCACTGTGATCATCTTCAGCCCTTTTTTTTGAAGCATTTCTTACCTCGTGAGCAGCTGGGCAGTTTCCAGCAGCCGAGCTGTGAGTAACCATCGCCTTCAAAGGAAAAGAAGGAAACCCACGTTTCACTTAAAGGCTCGGGGCAGCGTTAAAAGGGAGTCTCTGTGCTTGCAGGAGCTGAACCGTTTGCGGAAGGCAGCGCTGGCCTTCGGGTTCCTGGAGCTGCTGAAGGGCGTGGCGGACATGCTGGAGAGGGAGTGCACCCTCCTCCCCGACACCGCCCACCCCGACGCCGCCTTCCAGCTCACCCACGCGGCACAGCAGCTCAAGGTGGCGAGCACCGGAGCCTCGGAATACGCCGCCTACGACCACAACATTGCCCCTCTGCAGACAGACTTTTCCAGCAGCAGCACTGAGAGGATGTGAAGCCTCCATTTCGGGAGCTTCTCCAGGCTGAGGCTCGAGTGGTTCTGATTTTCTTGTCCTGTTTACTTTTTAGGGCTGTTTAATTACTGTTTGGAGAACTTCCTATCCAAAGGGGGATTTTGCCTCAGCGCTCTCTAAACAAATGTAGCGAGTTCGTGGTGGCTTTAGTCAGACCTGGAAACTGGGGAAAGTGTCCCAAGGCCAGTTATGGTGGTGGATGATGGGTGGAAGTTATTCAGTAAAAAAATGCCCTTTATGGGCAGCTCGTGGCTTTTGGCCTCCCCAAAATGCAGTTACTACGTAACTGAACTCGCTGGTAAGAGTATCCTAAAAGGCAGCTACTCCACTTCGTAAAACTTCATCAGTCCAAAGAAAATGTGTGGGAAACAAGATCAGAGTCGGAGCTGATTTCGGGGTATTGGCCCTGATTTTACACCCAGCTTGACAGCCAGCCTGTACTGCCAGAGCGAGTGTTATCACTGGCACTGCAGTGGTTATGCCTGTGAAAGTAACTTAATCTTGGGAGACGGTTTTTTTTATTTGCATAATATTAATAAAGAGCAATTCTTCAGGAAAATTTAAGTTGGATTTTTTTCCGTTTTCAGAGCAACCAAGCTGTGGGGCCTAAAACACTGACCTGGTGAAGGCTCAGCTCGCAGCTCTTGTCAAATACCAAATTATACAACTCCTCATGTGCAGGGAAAGAACAACTGAAGTAAAGCAAAATTTGGTTGTAAATCTTTATTAATAGAAACACATTCTTGCTGAAGGACTAAAGTTCAGTAGTGTAAGATCCATGACAGCCTGAACTAGGTACCACAGTTTCACTGATGGATACATAAGGATTTCATAACAGAAGTTTAAATGCCCAGAGGAGAAAATGGAAGTATGAAAGTGATCCTTGCTGTTCTGTTGCTCAGCTAGTTCAATCCTTTGACATACTTCAAACATAGGTACAGTGTGTGCTAAAAGTGAAAGATTGTGTAAGTAGTGCTCAGCTCTCCTGAGTAAAGTCAGCTGTGCTCTCCTATGAGTGGGAGTCTGGAGTATCCCCAAAGAGAACTTGGATTACACCTCTTTTGAGAGAACACAATTTGTGAAGTGCAGCGTGGAGCTTGAACTGGTTCTTTGTTAAAGTCTCCTTATAACAGTTTCCTTTCCTTTACAGTAACAATCACTGGGTCCATATCACAGACATTATGCTGTTTGTTACTTTTTGTATAGAAAATAATTTTTCTGGAGGATTCCTATGGTTTTACAGTAGAAAAAGACAACCAGTAACATGGCACTAAGCTAATGTGGACTGCTGGCATTGCTTTGCAGTGCCCTGGGGCAGTGGCAGTTGGGAAACAACCTGTTCATAACCACAGTACAGTTTAAACTTTCTGTACACCTCTGAACTGGATTAAGGAGGCCAGAGGGATCTGGGATCAGCTATGGGAGGCTTGGGGTGAGGGGCATCCTGAAATAAAGTCAACTGAAACAAAGGCTTCCAGGTGAGACAGTGATGAACTGCAATGTGGGGGGAGCTTCTCTTTTGTTGTGTTCTTGCTGTTGTTTAACAAGCACAGAAAAAAGGGTCCTTCAGACCCCATGTGGGATCTCCCTTACTGAGGTTTGATCTGTGCTATCTCAGTAATAGTTTATTTGACCTGCTGCTCCATCCCACCAGGGGCCAGTCAAACCAGACACACCAACCTCTCTGCTGCAGCCCTAAATGGAAGTAGAAAAACAATTTTGCTGCCTTGCTCAAGGAGCCACAGCACTGCCAGGATCCACCAGTGGAGCCCCATCTCCCACAACAGTTCCACGTTCTCCCTTTGGGTGGGATGGAGTTCTTTGGGGTTCCCATGCCAGGAGAAAGCTGGTACCTATGTTTCCTTATTTTGCTCTGTTTCAGTGCTTGCTTTGCCAACCAGGAAAACATTTCTGCCTCAGAGGGGCAGCTTCCTTTCCCTCAGGACTGGGTAGGATGTGTAGCTATAGGAATACAGGTCCACACAGCACTCTATTCTGTTAAGGCTGAACTAGAAAGAGGCTGATAGCACTGAAATCAGCATTAGCTACTTCCAGTTTTAATCCTGCAGAAGAAAAGGGGGGGTATGTGCTGAGCAAGTTTACCCCAGTGGTTGATAAACACCCAGACACTGTTCACAGTGGTCTCAGACTGTGCTCCTCCTGCCATCAAGATGCATCCCAGGAACAGCACAGGCCAGCTGAGGGCATATCCCAGCCTCAGAAGCCTTATCTGCATGCAATATTGAAAGAGCAAATCTCCAATTAAAAGATAAACACTATTTCTATTTAGTGCTGCTCCACTGATTATAAGCATTTCATATGCAGATAATAGGATTTCTTTCTAATATGCTGGTTGACAGGATACAAGTTTAACTGTTCAATGGTAAATGCCATGCACAGGTGATGGAAAGGGAACAAAATCCAGGATATGGGAATGTTACCTGAATTCACTATGAAATCATGAAATCTAGCGTGGTCGTTTCATTTTTACAAAATTCTTTACATTACAGAGGGTAAAACCATAAGAATTGAAGGCTTATCTTGTCATCAAGTGAGACAAGAAAGCATTGCAGTCCTCCCTCACTTCATCTTCCTCTTCTTTGGTCCAAGGTGCTGTTTCCTTTGCTTGTAGAGGTGACGGAAGTTTACAAATATCCCTGGAAAAGAACGGAGCGTTTAGGTAGGACATCATTTTAATGCTACCAGGTTAAAAAAAAAAACAATAACAGAAACCAACCAACCAAACCACCACAGAAAGAAATAAATTATTTAAGGGTGTGTGTAGCACTGAAAGCTAATGCAAGTGTTGCTTTGCTGGGTGAGGCTGGGGTTGCTGCACAGGCTGTTTGGTTTGGCTGCTCAGAAGGTTGGTTTGTCACCTTGTGACACCCACTGTGCAGAGCTTTGGAGGATGAAACAGGTATTTCAGAGTGAAACTCGATTTAAGCTGGCTTTAAGCAATGTCTTAAGGGGAGAAATCTAGTGAAAGCTCAGTTTAAAATTCCAGGTTAGACTCTACTGAGCTGTGGATACCCAGAGTGCTGGGTGTGCCTACAACAAAGTTAAATTGTGTTTAAAAGTGTAACACCAGAAACCAAGTATGTAACAAACACCTTTCTTCTTTAAGTCCACTATTTAAAGAACCTTTTGTATTGTTTCCTGGAAAAACATGACTTCATGTTACAGTTGTTATTACACTGCAATGTTTAACTGAATTGCTTTAATTTGAAATTATGTTTAGATTTCCACTAAATCATTGCAAAGCTCAAATACGACGTGAAAGGTGAAACTAAGTACTCTAAGGTTATAAATACATGTAAAAATTATTCTTTTAACCCAAGTTAATGCTGATAATTTGTTGCCAAGGTCTCCTTCTTGAAGGGCTAATCAGTTCCCCTCCATCACTGACAAATTTACATGAACAAGCCACAAGGATAATGCTTAACCTCAAGCAGTTTTGTGTTGCCATGGTCCCCAAGATGCAGGAATTTAATTTCCTTTGAAAAATCTACTTATTCAGGGGGAACTGGCCTTTATATTTCCATAGTGAGAAACACAACTAAATACTTACCTAAAAACAGGGCTATAAGATATATTTGAAGCACAAATGGGAACTGGATTGTGACATTCAGTGGGTTTGGCAATCCCAGACTAAATTTCCCTGTTTCACTGAAGATTGGGATGGATTGGACGATGCAGACAGCTGAAAGCAAAGGTCACCATCATCATCAAACACAGATAAAATGTACAATTACCCAGCCCACACCACCCACTTCAGGCTGTTCCCTTCTTATTTGCTCTCTGTCATTAATTGCAGCAGTTTTGAGGCTGTTCAACATGCAGTGTGGTGGGAGCAGCTGAGGCAGAGCAGCAGTGAACCTGCCTGGTGAGACACTGCTCCCACACCCAGCTGCAGCCCCAGGGCCTGTGCCAGCAGCATTTACCATCCACAAATACCCACAGCAACCAAAGAGGCACAGTCCTTCTCCTGCCTGGTGTTGGGCAATGCCCAAACCTCCTCCTGCCTCCCAGACACGGGTCCTGACAGGTACAATTACAACACAACCATCAGCCCCTGCCTGTCCTCTGCAATGCCAAGGTAATGTCAAGATCTGTGAGCTTGAACAGAGGCACAGGCAGTGATTCAGTATGAAAGACAAAATGCTTCCTCAAAGCAAATCCATGTATCTGTTGTTCTATTTTATTATTTTTAAGTCCAGCAGCCAGGAAAAAAAAACAATATTGAGTTATTTGCCCTGCCTTGAATTCCTTATTTGTTAAACTGTCTTTTTTGGACATACCTTCTGACAAGCCCCCTAAGGGGTAGAGAGGGATCCAGACAGTGTAACGGAGCCAGGTCAGTGGTTTCCATTCAATTCCAATGCAGGAAAGCATGTAATAGGGATACCTACAGCCAGGGGGGGAACAGACAGACATGGTTTAGAATGAGGGAACAGACACTGTTTAAAATGGAAGCTGCTACTAGATTTAGTCTTGTGTATATACACTGTGTTTATACTGTATATACTGTGAACACACTGTATTCACTGTGTAGTGAATACCATTCCCAAATGGCACAAGAATATTCAAAGCATTGTTCCTATGGATGACATGGACACACAGTTATTTGGAAGCTTACAGAACTCATATTATTATTATTCTGAACACATGGATGAAGGTAACTGCCTGTCTGCCTAATAAACCTTCCAAGTACTTCTTTTCCAAGAGAAACATCTCATTTAACAACAGAAATTCAAAGCAACAGAACCCTCAAGATAAAAAGCAACAGGGCAGTATTACTTTAGTCTCCAGCCTTATCCCAGCTTTTGGCAGATGGAACAACCCAGGAAGGTTGTGACAGTCCATGACTCAAGGAGCTTTTTTTTACCCTCTGGGGCCAAGGCATTAATGCCACCCTTCCAGAAAGTACAAAGATGAAAATCTTCTTTACAGAGTCCTTGGGAACAACCACATTGTTCTGTGCACACCTGCC